TATTTTAATGTAAGAATGTGTTTCCTGAATTTAATAGATATAGTGTTATGAGTGAAAGTGTGAAAACCTATAGGGTGTGCCCTAGGTCACTTATAAATTAATAACCGGCTTTAGTATAGACTAAATAGTAAAAAAAAATTAAGGAAATTAAGATCTTAAGCATGCCACTCATTTAATTTTTTAAATAACGATTGTACATATCAGTTTAAATTATATTTTAGATGAAAACACATAAATATACTGTAGAGTAATAGCCAGTCTTTCTTGATTGCATATTATTTACCTTATAGACAGGCGCGTAAGCAGGAATTTGGTCTGGGAGGGGGATAATAAATTTTTTTAAGAAATATTATTGTTAATTAAAAATACTAAGCATAAATTTATTAGGACTAATATACACAATTTTAAACTAATGTGAATTAAAAAAATTATATATATAAACAGGCATTGAAAAATTATAAAATAAATATGAATTATAAAATATAAAGTGATTTAACCCACGATATGAATCACTTAAATGACCCAAAATTTAAATTTAAATTTTTTGAGCTTTTAAAATATATAAAGTATAAAAAATTTAAATGTTGGAAATATAAATTAATACACAAAAAGTTTCTTAGGAATAATTGTATTTTGTATGTTTTGAGCTAATTTTTCAATTATCTATCCTTGCTTGGCGTTAAATGCCTTTGAATATTCAAAAGATCCAAATCATTCAATCTACTTTCAGATGTTGTATTTCATAAGTATGTTTTTCACAGACTTGCAGGCCTGGCCCCCGAGCCGGACCGTATTTTAATTTTTTTAAATATACCTGGGCCGGGCCCGTAATTTTTAAAAAAAAAACACCCGGGCTGGGCCTGAAAATTTTTTTAGAAAAAATATCCGGGCCGAGCTATATATTTTAAAACCAAATATTTGAAATCGCCATTATTAGCTATAAAAATCAAAAATAAATATAATTTATTTTTAAAAAATTTTCAGGCCCACTGTTATTCTTCTTAAGAAAGAGAATGTTCTCTCATTAGTTTACTAAAGAGCTGCTAATATATATATAACCATTTTAATACATTGGGAGTATAATCTAAAATGTGTTTGAAATAAAAAGCATCCATAGCCTTTTTTGGGACTGATAGATATATGTTGCATAAATGATGAAATCATATAGATTATAAGATTGAAATATTCATCCTCATATATTTAAAGAATTGTATATCATAATTTAATAATTCATTAAATGAATTTTGAAACTATCCTTTATGCTGACGATCCTAATATATTTCATTCATTTGAGATCTTTCTTGTGAATCAGCATAGGCTGCTAGAGCATAGATTAACGGCAACAGTTCCATAAAAATTATTTCCTCTATTTTAAGTTATAAAAATATGCGTCTCTGAGAGAGAAATTAAGACTATTAGTTATTAAAACAAAAATAAAATAATTTACATATAAAGCAGCCAAAAAATTTACAAATAACAAACTCGAAATATACAATTTTTTATAACATTATATCCTAGACCGAGTATGGCCATTTAATTAAGGTTAAGTAACATTTACAATAAAAAAACTTTATAAACTGAATAAATATTATAAAAAAATAAATATATATTACAGGGTTTACCATTCAAAAAAGGAAAAGTCCCAATCAAAAAAGGAAAAGTTTCAATCATAAAAAAAAAAGGTCCGATCAAAATAGGAAAAGGGTCAATCATAAAAGGAAAAGTGTCAATCAAAAAAGGAAAATTCCCAAAAAGAAAGGAAAAAGTCCGATTAAAAAGGAAAAGTGTCAAACAAAAAAGGAAAAGGTTCAATCAAAAAAAGAAAATAAAGGAAAAGGTCCAATCAAAAAAGGAAAAGTGTCAATCGAAAAAGGATAATTCCCAAAAGAAAAGGATAAGTGTCAATCAAAAAAGGAAAATTCCCATTCAAAAATAGAATATCGTAATTTTTTAAAATTTTTTTAAAAAATATAAATTTTTCAATTTTTCTTAAATTTTTATTTATTTTTGTCATTCCTTCTTTTTTATTTCTAACTTGTAGTAATTTTTAAAGGGATCATATCTATCCGGGATCTTCACGGGATTTAAAGGGATCCCTTTAACATTTCAATTTTTTAAAGGATAAAGAACTTTACGGCATTATCACGTTTGAACCATGATATAGAAGAATCTTATTTTAAAAAGCGTTTTCCGCGCGTTTCGTTTCGTTTCGTTTTTTAATTTTATTGTTATTCATTAATTTTCAATGTTGTTTTTTTTTGGCCTTATGAAATAAGATGTCTAATATAGGGTATCATTCGATAGCTAATCAAAAGATCTATTCAACTGGAGGTCAATATCTCCCCCATAATGGGCGGGTTTAGGTCTTGGGGGGTAAGAAATATTTTTATCAACACAAAATATCGATATGGATATCAAATAAAAGCATATTTTAATATGTATGACTTAAAGTTTTCATTCTTGGTCTGGATGGACATGACTTAGTCTGGGGGGGTAGGGGTGGGGGGGGGGTGTAAAAAATAATTTTTTTTGATATGGGCATCAAATAAAAGCTAATTTTAATATGGTTTGACTGAAAGTCTTCAATCTTGATCTGGATGGGTATGAATTGGTCTGAAGGTTAGGGGTAGGGGGGGGGGGTGTAAAAATAAAAATTTTTACGATATGGGTATCAAATAAAAGCTAATTTTAATATGGTTTGACTGAAAGTCTTCATTCTTGGTCTGGATTGATATGACCTGGGGGGTGGGGGTGGAGGGGTAGTGTAAAAATAAATTTATTGATATGGGTATCAAATAAAAGCTAATTTTAATATGGTTTGACTAAAATAATTCATTTTTTGTCTTGATGGATATGACTGTCAGGCCCTCAACATATTAACAAAATGTATAGTTGGATAGAATTTACAGAAATGAAAGAGAATGAAGATAAAATAATTTTTTAAATCTTTTTTCGGTTCCAATCCTGAATTTGAAATTTTTATTTAATCTGTACCAAAATTATTTTCATTATCAATGTCTACTGTCGGCATTTAAAAATTATTTTTATATTGAAAAATATATTTACAATGCATATTTTTAAATGTAAATTTAAATAAATAAAATAAAAAGATTATAATTTTAGAATTAATAATAAAATTATTATAATAATTTTTGCTATTTATTTAGTAACGAGCTCTTTAAAAAAATGTAGCATGCTAATGCTATCGATACTTAAAAAATAGCTATGGAATAACGCACTAAATATAGAACACTGCAAATTATATATTCCAAGTTCAGGATTGGAACCAATTAAAGATTTAAAAAATTATTTTATCTTTATTCTCTTTTATTTCTGTAAATTCTATCCAACTAGACATTTTGTTAATATGTTGAGGGCCTGACAGTCATACCCATCAAGACAAAAAATGAATAATTTCAGTCAAACCATATTAAAATTAGCTTTTATTTGATACCCATATCAAAAAATATATTTTTACACTCCCCCTCCACCTCCACCCCCCAGGTCATACCCACCCAGACCAAGAATGAAGACTTTCAGTCAAACAATATTAAAATTAGCCTTTATTTGATACCCATATCGTAAAATTTTTTATTTTTACACACCCCCCCTCTCCACCCCTACCCCCCAGACCAAGTCATACCCATCCAGATCAAGAATGAAGACTTTCAGTCAAACCATATTAAAATTACCCATATCAAAAAAATATATTTTTACCCCCCCCCCCCCACCCCTACCTCCCAAACCAAGTCATGCCCATCCAGACCAAGAATGAAGACATTAAGTCAAACCATATTTTATTTGATATCCATATCGATATTTTGTGTTGATAAAAATATTTCTTTATTTTAATTTGTATTAATAAATTTTATTTGATCTTAAATAAAAGATGCACTTTTCTTTTATCCAAAAATAAATAGAAGTATATTCAATATAATTGATTGTAATTTTTAATTTAGGATATCATATAAATATAATGAATGAAATATATTTAATAAGTATCTTTATACTAGATAATCCGTGATTAAAAAAATGCCACTAATTGTGTCTGCACATTTTATCTAATCGAAAATAACTAATAATACTATTTTTTTTTACAAAATTATCTCTCCAATAAATCTAACTAGCATCAACAACACTAATTAAATTTTAAAAAATTATACAGTTCCCGTATTAATAAAACCAAAATGTGAACCCTAAACCTTGGATTTATAGACAGACATTAAACTAGACTAGGTGAGCTATTAGAACAATGTTTTTAATTTTTTATATTATAAGTCAATAAACGAGATTGGTTGTTTACTAATTATATCAGAATGTGGTAATGTAAACACTTTTATATTAAAACAATATTGGTTTATTTGTGCTTAAAAATTAAATTTCTTACAAAAATATATATTATATACTGTATAATATTACTAAAGAGAGTAATATCTTTATTCTATAGTTATGTTATTTACTATTCAATTTTTTCTCTATTTAGATCTATAATAAAAATTATGAACAATTAAGACTCATACAAAAATAATTGACTTTTTATTAGCTTCTACTTTTTTAAAAAGATGAACTTGTTCGTATTTAAAACAAGCAAAAATAGGGTGTCCTAGTTCAAATTTTATAGCCTATACTAAAAAGCAATTATGTATCTATATTAACCATCTAAGACACAGTCTTAACATTTGTCTATGGTTATGAGGAGAACAGTAGAGTGTAAAGCTCTTTTTAAAAAAAATAAAAAATATCTTATTAAATGATATTAAACGCAGAGGGAGCTGCTGACGGTGCTAGTTACAAAGATTGATATTAATGGACTAAGTTTTATGAGATGGCATTCCTTCTTCCTAAATGTGTCTCTCGCTTTAAGGAGGATTAAAATCACATATCTCTGTAAAGAGTTATTTGGCAAGGAGGGGGGGGGTGACTTTTTTGCTTGTTTTTTTGATTGAAGGTTTAAATACAAATCAATATATAAATTACATATATAATATATTGTTTTAAAGGTTGCATGGTTAAAATTAGAAAGTCAAACCATTATATCTTTTCAACAAAACTTGATCGTCAGAAATTCGAGAATGAATATCACAGCCAACGATTTGGGTAACGTATGGACTCTAATTATAAGGTCTGTGACACCCAAAGATGATGGATTTTATATGTGCCAAATCAATTCCGATCCTCCTTCTAAGTCGGCTGGGTATTTGGAAATTTTGAGTATATATTATATATATAATATTATAATACACTAATCCTTTACTATATTTAGGTGGTTTAACAAAAATTTTCACATTTTTTTTTGTCATAACTAGTATTCTTCAAATTAGAAGTTTTTTAAATATATAAATCAGAGTTTATAGCAACACTAGTTATAATTATAATAATATTTGAAAAAAAATCAAAATATTTTATATTAATGCCTTTTAATTGCATGTTATCTATTTGGCATTGATATTAAATCTCTGATTCAACATAGCTTTGGTACCCTTGATAATTCTTAATGATAATATTAAATGATAGACAATAATATTGTTTTGGTTAAATCTAGTAGAGTTGTATAAAATATTTAAATTTGCCTTGATAGCTCTAGTTTTAAGTAATACAATTTTTTTAACATTTAGTTTAAACTCAAAATAGACCATATTATTTCACTTTTTCTTAGATTAAAAGTTTAATTGTTCCTATTATATATTTTTTTATTTGAAATAAACAACGGTCTGTTTTGAGGTAATTTTTAGATATGGCTAACTCAATATTTTAGTCAGGAAAATATTGCCTAAGCCTAGAAATTTCGCTAATATATGTCAGACCTTTGTACCCTCAATGAACAAAATCTTCAGGCTTGGGTAATATTTTTCTGGATAAATTATTAAGTTAGCAATCGATATAAAACAAACCATTTAATAACACTACATGAAGCTGTATAAAAAATAATTTACTAATCAATAATTAAATTCAAAAATATTTATTTGTGTGTTCTGCCTGAGGAATAAGAATTCCCTAAGTTCAAGTGTTTGTAATTTAATTTTGTGAGCTAAATATTTAAGAAACCCAAGGTGATAGGAACAAACTGTGTGTTGGGAGATTATAAAATTCCTGAGATTTTTTATAATTTTTTTAGTCTCTGCTGGAGTAAGCAGATTGCTATTTATATTAGTGGGAAAGGGCCTGATGCATGTATCCCCAAATAAGGGAGGATTTGCCCTAATAAAATTTATAACAAGAATACATGATTTGCCCAGTTTTTAATTGTTTTTAAGTATTTAGATAGTTTTAACTTATTTGCACAGGTTTTAATTATAATGTAATGCGTAGTTTTTTTTATATTAAAAAAAATCGTTTTAGAAATTAAATTTTTGTAAATGATATGTTATACAAAACTTTTCCAATTTAAATAATTATTATAGTTTAGGGTTCGCTTGTTACAATTTTTTCTTAAACCCACTTCCTCGTGCAAGTGTTATAGAAAAGAGAATAGGGTTGAGGTTTAGTTATAAGTTAAGATTAATATTTCATATGTGCCATTCTCTAGGTATCCTCTCTTTTATATATAGCCTGTATGTTATTTTATAATATATATATTTTTTATTAAATAAAATGATTAGTTTATATATATGGGTCAATTTTTATTTAAAAAACCAAACAATACTTTTAAAAAATTGCTGATTGTTTGAAACTTTGATTATTCTACTTTTACAAAACCATAATTATAGAATGTGACCAAAAATCTATTTATTATGATCTGATTAAAATTATATTCCAATTCCCTAAAAAAGCTTAAGAATCTACAATAACATGACTTAAATATATTTTTCCCCTTTCATTTTTACCTTTTCGCAAATTATTTTCAACTTTAATTGCTAAAGAACTTCATTTTTTTAATGCAATGACTTTAACATGTAATTATTTCCCTCTGACCTGCTAAATTTATTTATACTCCCTTCTTTATACTAATCTTTTCATCAACTTTCTAATGTATTTTTTTTTAAATATATCCATGGTCTCAAGAGTGGTACTCCTTTTACTAGGGAAACCTCCATTCAAAATTTTGGGATCTAAAGATTGTAAGAATTCTTTATCAGCTCATAAAAATATAACAAAATTCACAGACAAATTTAAAGGTAAATCTATATCAAAATTGCAAGTTACATTGTTCAAGTAGAAGATTAGTGATATCTTAAATATGATATCAACCGTTTTAAGTTTAACGACACCATTAGGTCAAATGTTACTCCTAAGTATTAAAACGACGCCATTCCCTGTAAGGATTTGGGTTTACAAATTTCCCTTGTAAATCTATCTTGGTTCCAGTAAAATCCACCAAATACTTAGAAGATTATTCAGGAGGCTGTCACTTTGAAATTGAATTTCATATAATTCTATACTTTAGGAAACTTCCGTACCATCTTAGCAGGCGTCGAAAATTAAGATCCGAAAACATTATGGATTGAAAGAGACACAAATGGGGTAGACAGGGCATTGGTAGGATTTTCTTGGAAGGGAACCCCAAAAATTTGATCCTTGGCAGATAGATAGATCGAGAAGAATGCTGATCTAATATCTATTTTGCAGGCATAGATATCTTTCTCAAGGTTGGCATGTATAAAAGATAAGGACTTAAGTCTAAACGGGTAATAAAAAATTTTTTGGGACCTCTGAAAAGTCACAGATAACTCTTGGGACTAACAGCTTTGCAAATAATGCAGAACGGGTGCAGATTTTTTCTAGCAGTGCCTTTTCCATAACGTTTGTAGCAACTGTGAAATCTCTGGGTCAAGTTTTTTGGCTTAACCCAGAGATAAAGTAAGTTTAAAGGAATGAATATTATTATCACCTATTTCTTATCTATCAGTTTTAATCTGAATTCTCGTCTAGATAGAGCTCTGGTAAAAGCGGACTCTAATGAACCTTGATATAGTTTTGAGTAACTATATTGATTATAGGAAACCGATTAAAATTAAAGCCAAATAATTAATATACCTTTGGAAATGCCACCTAGATTAGGTAGAGCAATCGATTCTACCTGGGTTTCACCAACATCGTATAAAAAGGCAGACCACACAATACACATAATTACCTGCCCAAGATCATGATAGGTAAACGACTCGGGATCCTAAAGCGTCGGGCCCACTGACAGGTCGTCGACTAGCCAGTCCTTGATACCAGTTTTCAGATATAAAGGGAGACCAGTGGCAAAGCCACAGGGGGAGGTTAAATCTCCCAGCCATTTTTCAAAATTAAGAATTAATAATGACTTTGAAATACGATATGTATTTATCTTCATTTCATATCCCTTTTATATCCTAAATAACTTAAGTCTTATGTTTTTATAAACAATTGTTCAGAGGAAATTTAGATAGATCATTTTTAATAATTATAAACTTTTTTCATATATAATATCAACTAGCATTTTTTAAAACGACTAACTCATTATTTTATCCAGAAAAAAATTACGCATGCCTGAAGTTTTGGTCATCAATGGCACAAAAGTTTGGACATTAATTAGCGAAATCTCAAGGTTAAGGCAATAATTTTCTGGCTAAAATATTGAGGCCATTTTTATAAATCGGCTCAAATCGAGTTGTTTAACAACACTATCAACTTAATTTATACTTATATTCATTTTGTGTTACATACATTTAAGTTAATGTAACATTAATTTATGTAAAATTCTTATGGAATTTTAATTAGAAAGCTGTTTTTCTGGTATTCTTCTGTTATCAAAGTAGCTAAGTAAGAAGCTTGTCAAATTTTGTTTGTTTTTCTAAACTATAACAACCTTACTTTCTATGATTTTTATTAAGATGCACCTGAATAATATTTAAATTTTTTGTTATCAACTTCCTGTCAAAAATTGTTACCACCAATAATATTATGTTGATTTTTTTATCAAGTCAAACTATGTGTTTTTTCCTTCAAAAAAGCAACCATAAAATGTATAAAATTTTAAGAATAATAAAATAAAATTTATTTATTAAAATATATTAAAAATCACTTATAATCTCATACTGATTTTGTTTGCAATAAAATAATATATTCTTAATTAATGATATTTATTGATGTGTAATATTAATAATTATTAATGTAATATATCATATACATTGGCGTACGCAGAGGGGGGGGGGCAGGGGGAAAATCCCCCCCCCCTTCAAAGCCAAAAAATGCAGATGCCGGATATATTTATCAAAAATATTATTGTTTATATTAATTTATATTTGTTAATATTTATTCGTATCTCATATTAAATATATATTTTATTACATTTATTATCACATTCATACGTTATTTTATCAATTAATTTCGATTTCAAGTTTTCCGGCGTAATATTTATTTATTATTTTCAAATTTTTGGCTTAATATTTATCTACCATTTTCACATTTCTATTCAAATAATAATTATTTCTGAAATTTCTGGTCCAACAGGGAAAAAGAAATTGTAACCTTGTCCAACGAGATAGAGCCTCTTCCATCAAGCACTAACAGCTATTGAGGAGTTAGAAGAGCCAATTATTTGCTATTACTGAAATATCACAATGGCCTGATAGAAATATTTCCTCAGAAGCAAGAAAATTATTGGATTCATTGCTTATTCCAAATTTTATTTCTCATTAGAATGTATTATTTAATTATACAACTATTTTAAGTATTACTTTTCAAAAACATGACATTGGTTTGATTAAGAAGATGAGAATAGCGGAAAGCATTTTATCAGAACTCAAGGAAATTAGGGCTAATGTTGTTGAAGAATTTCATATTTTATATTTTATTGTTGAGTCAAAAGCAGATATATACGTGTTTAATATTTGTCTCCCTCGACTTGTAGCAAGGCAAGCTCATCGTTAAAACATTAATAGAAGAGTATATCTTAGATGCAGATACATTTATAACCCAAATAAATGAATTTTTAATTCATCATGCAGCACTTACATCTGCAAATATTACTTCCACAAAAGCCTTCCCAACATTTTTCAGATGGTGATAGAAAATAAAAATTTGTTAGATTTTTATTATGAAGATGTTAAAGTATCTTATGATGCCTTACTAGCTGAATAACTATGTTTATAAGATTAATTAAAGTTGATATAGTCTCAAAAAATGCTATGGATGCTCTGCATTATTTCAAACACATTTTAGACTACCAATGTATTAAAAGGGTTTATAAACTCTTCCCATTAGTAAACTAATGAGAGAACACTCTCTTTTTTAAGAAGAATAAC